TGTCGCGGAAGTTGTAAACTGCTGTCGATCTTGCTGTGACCCCCTAGGAAAAGGTTATGCCCCGCCCTGTATATATATATCCCACAGGAGCATAGTGCCAAAAAATAAATAAAAAAACATTGGTATCGCTTGATTAATTTCAAACTTGATTCCAGACGGGATTTTTGAAAAGTGGGTGGGAGCTCAAACAAATTAACGGGATAAGATTTTTCACAACGCTAAAGCGGGCGGAAGGCTGAAAAGCAGCGATATTCCTTGCCGCAGGAAAGGTGACCACAGAGAAAGCCATCTGTCCTCCGGATCGGCTTCTCCAGGTATGAAAATGCTGCTCCCCCCCGCACCTCCCCACAGGCCCAACCACGCTAACGGCCTACCTGGAGTGCATTGGCTATTGGCGAGACAGGTGCTGTTGGCTTCCATTGTATCGACGCAGCATTCCGCGTCCGATTCCTAGTTGTACAGAGAGGAAACAAACAGCGCATTTTTTCCAAAGTTCGGTTTGCTTTGCGCTCCGTTTTGTAATTTGCTCCTCTGCGTGAACAGCAAACCACAATGCAAAGTGGCCTTAACGGGGCACCACCTTATTCAAAGCACCAAAATAAAGTAATAGGACAGGAGGAGAGGCCATGACTGTGGCTGGAGGAGGGATGGAGGGAGAACGAAAACGACACAGGGAGCTTGGAGTCGTGGGAAGAAATATCCCCCTGGGTTCAGTTCGAAGCCGGGAGAAAGACACAGAAAACATGGAGGCCGATTGGGAAGATGGTTTTAATGGCCAAGCAGAACCACCAAACGCATGGTTCTCTGGTGCAGCTGGACCACATGGGGTTCAAATCCCAAAGTCACCCCCTTCCGGCTTTTTTCCAGACCCCCAGATTGGCCGACGAATCTCTATATATAAAAGTGTGTGCGTATCTGTCTGTGTGTTCCAGCATAACTCTGGAACGCCTCAAAGAATTTCAGCCAAACATGGTACGTGGGTGACATACTCTCAGGAAAGAAAATACTGTGGGGGCAAGACACCCCTAACACCCCTCGGGTGTGTGTTCTTGTTAAGATACAGCCTTAAAATGGTGTTTACTGTACTGCTGTAAACTGGCTTCTACTGTACAGCACAGTGGAGTTGCCATGGTAATGGCTTCACAGTACTCCACAAGGGGGCTCTCTCTGGTTGGGGAAAATCCAACATTAGAAATTACATTTGGTCCGGACATTTCTGAATGTCTAATACAGGATTGAGGGACATGGTTGCTAAGTGGCTAAGACGCTGAGCTTGTCGATCAGAAAGGTCAGCAGTTCGGCGGTTCAAATCCCCAGCGCCGCGTAACGAAGGGAGCTCCCGTGACTTGTCCCCGCTTCTGCCAACCTAGCAGTTCAAAAGCATGTAAAAAATGCA